GCAGTTTTGAGCTGTGACTTTTTAAAATCACTTTCTGTACAGCTAGTCATTTTAATAATGTGGCCCTTTTCCTAGTCCCTGCAACCTGTTTCATAAAGTGCAACGAGAAAAGCAGAGTTGTTGAACCCTTTTGGTGTTGATGAAGTTCAAGGTTTCTAAAATGTTGCCATGTATTGAGAGGAGCTAATGTGATTATGTTATTAGTTTTCACATTTCCTAAGCAGCCTAGAGTACAGGGTGAGCATTTTTAGGTCTCATGATGTATTGTGCTGTGGAAGTATTGTGTGAGTAGCAGTAGTGGGGACAAAAGGAATCTTCTCATTTGGAAATGTTGTAAATAATTTTATTAAATAGTGTTTTGGATGTATTTGTTGTAGAAATGGACCAGTGAATAAAGAGAATCTAAGGATTTGTACAATGTGAAATACTGAATGTGTTAAATAAATGTAATTGTCTTAGAACATAAATGTATGTTATTGATAGGGGATTATTGAGCAAGTGCTTTTCTTTTAATCATAAGTGAATAGGAACAGCCTTCTTTGTGAATTAGAATCCCATCTTGTCCTGATTGCACCTGAGCTGCATCTGACAAGTTGAGGGAAATGCAGTCTTGCTCACTGAACTCATTCTTGGCTTTGAAGAAACTAGCCCTTTACAACACTGTACCTCGCACTTTATATGTTGGTCAGATCTCTTTTTATTGCAAATAACAATCAATTTAGAGAGAATCAAAGGCCACCCAGGATTTTCTAGAGACAGGAAGTCATCAGCAACCCAGATAGCACTTTTTCTCCACTTCATACAACTGCTTCTCTGGGCACATGATGGATTGCTCCAAAACAACTGTATATACCTCCTCCATTCAAGATAAACCCAGCCTGACCAGCAAGAATCTTTTTAACAGCATCAAGAATCTAGCCCAGTTTAGGTCAGCTTTCCACCTTCATTCCAGTTCTGTGGTTAGATGCGCAATCCCCAAATAAAAGCAGTCGTTTTGTGTTATGTTCTTCAAAGATGCCCATTACATTTCACTCTTTGGCTGTCCTGTAACTCATCTGCATCAGGCTTAGGGGTGACTTTTCATCAACATCCCCAGGTTTTCCCTTTCCTGGCTTAATTCTTACCTAAACACTGCTTCTGTTCCCATCCTACTCCCTACCTACCTTCAGGGGACTCAGATACTTGGGGCCCTGTCCTTGTCTTGGTCTGGGTCTCAGCCTTCTGCTGTGTCTCCTACCAGCTAGACATATACTCCATTCTTTCCCCTGCAGTAGCTCCTTGCCATTGCCATAACTCAATGCCTGAGATCAAAAGGATGAGTTGGTGATTCTCTGTCATGCTCTTAGTCTCATCTCTATTTCAGCTGTCTTATTATATATGTCTTACATTATAAGGATCCTCTAAAAGTAGTTATTTATTAGTCAGACCCCATGCTGTCTGACTCTGTTCCCAGCAAGCTTATCTACCCTCTTCCTTCTCTTATGACACACACGAGAACCAAAGCCAGCCTAATAATAATACCCTCTGCCAGTACTGTGCTTGAGATTACAAAGTGCTTCTCAGACTTTACCTCTATTCAGACAGAAAGTATAATGTGCTTTAAATAGATTTTTATTTTGTTTTTCTTTATATTTTTCTCTCCCATAGAGGAATAACATTACAATCTAACAATCAAAATTCTGTTACACACATACACAGGCATGCCACAGGACCGTGTTGAGGTGGTTGTGTCCTTGAGTCTGTTGAAATGTCACAACATGGTCAACCAGAGTCTCCTCGTTTCAGCCAGTCTCAACACAAAACACCCAAGAGGGATGCACTCTACTTGGTTCCATTTGGAACTAGGTGGCAGGACAAGTGGGGAAATATAGGGGGTATAGTGTGTCTGCATTCGGTCCCCATATAAAGCCACATGGATCTGAGGAGGCCTCCAAGAGCTCTGGTGGGGTCCTTATTGCACCTAAGATATTAGGGGTCAGAGCAAATTGATCAGGATATCGGCAGGAGTTGGGAGCAGGCATACTTCAAAACAGCAGCAAATTGCATTCATACACAAGTGATACCCTGCTGGGGCCAGACTGGCAAAGGCTGGAAAGTGACACCCAGCTTGAAGAGAGCACTCAGACATATGGGGAATCACTGTAAGTCACCCTCTGATGTAATTGGGACTCACTCTAGAAACGGGTCCCTCTGACAAACTCAGTTTTGGCAAAGTGCTGGTAGTATTGACATGAATTAATATAAACTGGAACAAACTTCTCCAGGGTTCTCTGAAAATATCAGTCAAGACAGACTCTCTAACCCCTCACCTGTCTAAGGTTGCATAGGACTTTGTGAATTCCGGTTCCCTCATATATTCAAGTTCTGTGGTTTAAAAAAAATCCTGAAGCATGCTCAAGGTGAAAGGCACATACACAGTCAATACAGTATGATGCTTCAGGAGTTAGACTAGCAGGAGACTGAGTAATGTTGGTTCTTAGAAATCTATACACAATTAAAATATTGCCACACTCAAATACTACAGAATCTATAGGAAAGTACAAAAACCTATGAGCCTTGCAATCAGCCAGGTGATGAGATTGGAAGGTTCTAGAACTACAGGAGCTCCAGAAATATGGGTGAGGGAGGGGCCTTTTGAAATTTGAACCTAATGCCCTATTATTCACTCTTCCCCCACAAGAAGGATCATGGGAACTACCCTGGACTGAGCCTAGGCCCCAGCAAAGGAGTAGACAAGAGGAGTTGGAGGGAATTTCAGCTCTTGGAAGTGCTGAAGACCCTACGCTGGCTGTGAAGTGACCAAGGGGTAGCTGGAAGAAAAATGTGACTAGGTCATAACTGAAGGAGAAGCTTGGGGCCAGGAACAAGGTTGCCAACTACTGGGGCCCTAGTGGACTGGCGTGGGGACTTTGATCTGTTCTTAGTGTAGGTTTGGCTTACTCCCTTGGACAGGAGACCCCAATAGGGCTTCCTCTGTCACCATCCCAGTATCCACGGAGCTACCCTCTCCCTTACCCATACATCCCACATGAGGCTTGGGGCTACAGGGTCAGGAAGGGCAGCTGCCTTTGCCCTCGTGGGAATGCAGAGTTATCTCCAAGCCTCCACTTAACTGTGAGACCTAGAAACCTGAAATTATAGTGAGGGGGGAAGACCTATGTTAGTTTCTAACAGGAAATCTTAAGTTTCAAGGAAGAAAGAGCACACACTAGTAAAGGACAGAAAGAAAAAAAGGGAAGCAACTTGGGGCATCCCAAGAGGCTATTGCTGGTGTCTGAGCCCAAAATTCAGTCCCACCATGAGAAGGGGAAGTTGGTCACCCCTGTTCCCTCTGTTTCACCCAGGGATTCAGGTTCCCTCCTCCAGGTATTTACAGGAAGAGAAGGGGAGGGGAACCATAGGGCACCCATTTCTCCCCAGCAGCCTAGAAAGGAAGAGAGCACTCAGGAAGAAAAGGGAGCGTGGCCCTTATGGCCCAGAACCTGGAGCGGGACTTTGGGGATTAGGACAGTGAAGCTCCTGGCCTCCTACCCTGGAGTGTTTATTAGCCATCCTGGGCAGGGTGTGAAATACAAAGCCAGAGGCAAGATGAAAGCTGAGCTGTCAGTCTTGGGATGGCTTCACCCCACAGCTTGTCCTTCTCAGCATCATTCTTCTGCATTCTTACACTGGGGTGCACAGTTTCCCCGCCTAGAAGCCCTCTGGCCTGCATCTCTCCTAAGCTAGTTCTAGCACCTTGGACATGTGAACAGATGGCCAGGATGGCAGGGCTTTGCCCAGCCTCTACTCCTGGGGTGACATGTTGAGGGTAGGTTTAACTAAGGCCTTTCAGACTTGGGCCTGCAGAGGGGTGGATTTCAGGAAGAGATTTGGGAGGTGAGATTATAGGAAAGGGAAGTGGGGGCAGACTCCAGGCTCCAGCCTGAGAGCAGGGTTAGGCCAATCTGTGAGCAAACACAGTACCAGCTCCCATGGTGCCCTGCTTCTTGCAGCTTCTCAACCTGTCCTGTCTACACTTCAGTAGGCTGCCTCTTCCCTTCAGTTCCCTCCACCTTCTCCCTTTAATTCACATCTCACAGTCCTCTTCTACATACTTTACCTTTCCAGGCCTAAGCCACTACAAGGAGCCCAGCCCCCAGGGTGAGAGGGAAGGGTGAGACTAAACATAGAAACCTTTAGTCTCAACCTCCCTCCTCCACCCCACCCTTTGGGAGGGCATTATTGGGAATGGAAAATAAGGAAGCAGGAGCGAGTGTAGTGCCAAACATGAGATAGGGCGAGGCTTGTAAAGTGGGAATTGAAGGTAAGGAAACAGCTAGATCTGGGGCTGGAAAAGGAGATTCTGAGAAATAGGGGTGGGCCAGAGGTAGAGGAATGGAGGGCAAAGATAAAGGGGAATGTCAGGGCAGAGGCAAGGATGGGGACCAGAAAAGGAAGGATGGAGTCAGTATGGGAGATGAAGGATTAGATGTTGGGCAGGGGGCCAGAAGAAAGGGTAAAGGGCAGAGGAGGTCCAGAGGTGGATTAGAGAATCAGAGATGGGAAAATCAAGGGGACTTTAAAGGGGGCTATCACCCCACCTCACACACTTGAGGGAGGTTGTGTAATCAGCCCGAGGTGGGCTGCGGGCGCCTCTGGAGCAACACACTGGCTGCCGCGGAGGGACCCGATAGCGGTCGGGGGTCGGCAAAGGGTTTGTGGTTGGGCCGGCGGACGCTCAGTAGTTGAACTGGCGCTGGCACGGCTGGTAGATAAAGTTGCCCTGGTGCTTGGGCCGACGCGGATGGCTCTCGCGGGCGCGGTTCTGCCGTTGCATCACCTTGGCGCTCAGTGCGTGGCGCTCCGCCCGCTGCCGGGCCCGCTGCAGCCGCCGCACCTGGCCCGCCCTCTCCAGCAGCGCAGCCCGCGCCGGCAGAGGGGCGGCCGCGTGGTGCGGGGCGCGGAGCTCCCGGCGGACAGGCGCCAGCTCCCTGCGGGAACAGAGCAGGGCCAGGTCAGGGCCGGACCGAGCGGAGCGAAGGGTCCCCGCACCCTCGCCCTGGCGCAGTGCTGTCTCCGTTCAGAAGGGGGCGCCCAGGTCCCAGCCCTTCCTCCAGGCTCACCTGGGGACACCGCCACGGTTCTCGCCCCGTGACAGGTAAAAACCGGACCCCAGGGAGGATTCGACTCCAAACTCCAATTCGGCCCTTGCCTTTCGTAAAAGCCTCTAGAAGCCGCACCCTCGTGACGTTCTGGCCTTGCCCCTCCAACTCCATGACCCGTCCCCGGACTTTTAGCCACGCCTCCCCGCCTAAAGCCCCGCCCCTTGGCCCCCAGAGCCGCCCTAGCCCGGCCCCGGCCCGTAGGCCCGACCCTTTGCCCCAAAGACTCTCCTCTAAAGGCCCCGCCCCTGCACCTGGGCAGCTCCCCAACCTCCAGGCCGATCCCGCCTCTCCCGGACTCCGCCCTCCGGCCCGGCCCGCTCACCCTTCGCTGAGGTCGCCGTCGGGCAGGTCCGCGTCGGGGTGCGGGGAAGGGGGTCCGGGCTCCAGCACGATGGTGCTGCCGGTGACATAAACGGACATGCTGGGGTGCTCGATGAGGAGGTCCTCCAGGGGGCTGCTCTGGAGGCGGGCGGGCCCGAGGCCGGGCCCTTCTGCAGTGAAACAGGCGGGAGGGGTAACAAACCAGCTCTCGTCCATCAAGGAGGGCGCGGGCGGAGGGCGGCCCGCAGGGGCAGGAGCGGCCCCGGGACTGGGTGGAGCCGCGTAGCTGTCTACGGGGCGGGGGCAGGGGAGCCATGCGGGGGAGGAGGCGCAGCGGGGAGGGGGCGCGCGCGCGCGCACACACACACACACACACCGGACACAGGGGGGTGGGGAGAGAAAGGGCATCGTTAGTCAGACCCGCAGCCCTGCCCGTCGCGCCCACGGGGCACCCAGGGGCCAGGAGTCTCGCTAGGGCCCCAACACTGCGCCGCCAGAAGACGGCCCGGCTCGCATGGGACGGGACCCTGTACCCCACCTCCCAGGTCACTACCTCAGCCCCAGTTTGCCCAGTAAACCTGCGGGAACTCCCCGATCCCCTAGCAGCTCCCTTCCCGCCGCTGCTGGGCCACCTGACCTTCCCAGGCCCAGGAGTTAGAGTCCTGGCCCCCGACCTAGGCCTCACCCGGCAGGTCAATGATAAGCCAGCCGTCCACTTCATCCTCCTCCGAGACGAAGGCTCGGGGGCAGTCGAGGTCTTCAGGGGGCGGGGGGTTGCTGAAGAACAGGCTGGTGAGGCGCTGGAACATGTTGGGAGAGTGCAGCGGCCTCGGGGGGGCGCTCTAAAGCAGTGCAAAAACCTGGGAGGCGTAGAGAGGAGTCAGAGTCACCACTGACTGAAGTCAACCCCTGCTCCTGGCTGGGGATACCACCCCCAGCACCCAGACCAGATCAGAGGACAGCAGGGAGGTGTGGGGAAGGCTTGCAGTGTGTGGGCTTTCTGGTAGGTCAGCCTGCTTTCAGGTTTTTCTATTTCCTGTGTGACCTTAGGAAGTAATTTAACTGATCTGTGCTTTAGTTTACTCATCTGTCAAATGGCAATGAAAACAGTACCCTCCTCTTGACCTTTATAAGAATTAAATGAGCTAATAATAGTATTCTCCTCTAGGCTCTAATAAGAATTAAAGGAGCCAAACACAAAGAGCTTAGGACAGCATGTGGGCAGGGTAAGCATTCAATACATTCATCACCTTGTTATTATTAATATTATTGCATGCTTTAGGGACATGGAAAGAGTGGTATCTGTGACCAGACTCTGTCAAGAAAGGTTTCCAGAGGATTGGACATCCAAGCTGGATCTTGAAGGGTAAATAGGAGTTTTCCAAGCAAGGAAGAAATCGCCCAATGTTGTGATTATTTATCATCATCATAATATTGCTAACATTCATGTGCCAGGTACTCTACTAAGCACTTTACTTCTATTACCTGATGTAATCCTCACAACAACTCTAGGAAGTGAGTATAATTATCATCCCGCTTTCACAGGTGAAGAAACTGAGGCTCAGAGACGTAAAGTAACTTGCCCAAAGTTTCACAGATCCTAAGACAAAGAGGTAGGATTTGAACCCATGTAGTCAGATGCCGGAGGCAGCACCATAGTCACTATATTCCATTGCCTTTGCTGGGCGTCTGTCTGAATTAGGCATTTTTAACTTGGTGGCCAAAGGCCATGGTTCATGTGTATTTTTCTGGGAAGATGGACCTTGGTTTTCATCAGGATTTCCCAAACAGCACCTACTTGTGTGGCTTGAAAAGTGCTGGCTCGCAAAAATCTCACGGAACTGCTACCGTGTGATTGCATGGACCTCAGTTCTGTCTGTGAAAATGAGCTTGGAAGATCCTATTCCCACAGGCCCTCCCCCTTCTTACCCCTTATTCCCAAGCCCATGCTCAAGGGCAGTATCCCTGGCTAGGAAGAAGATCACATTGCCTGGCCCCAGGGAGACAACAGGTCAGAGGGAGGTGACAGTAGAAGGAGGGAGATATCACACCCCAAGAGCCCTTACGGATTAGCACTGAGGGTTAGACCAGGATTCAAGGCCTCAATCAGCCCTTCCCTGGGTGAAGATGAGGAAGGAGACCTCTTACTTCAGGAATGCAGACACCAAGGAGGTGGCTATAGATCTGCTCCTCTTCCCACCTCAGCCTATCTCAGGACTAGACCTGGGCTTGGGGTACCCTCTGGATGTCCCTAAAGCTTCACCCTCCACATCTGCCCCCTGAAGATGATCAATAATTTTGCTATTGGGCCACTTGTCACCTTCCTTGAAGGATGTTTCCACACTTCCATTCCCTGAAGGCATTCTACTCTTACTGTTAAACCACCTGGGATATTTATGTGCTTGTGACTACCTCTCCTAGTCCCTGGGTATGTTTTCACACTTGCCACAGAATCCCCTAAACTCCATATCCTGAGAGTATTTCCACATATGCAGACCCACAGTAGGCTCCAGAAGGAAGTGCTCCCTGGGTGCTGGCTTCCCTGGTGGGAGATCTATGGGGATTATGAAAGGTTGAGCCATTCCAGCTAGTACCTGCCCAGCACAAGCCACATATCCCAAACCACTTGTAGCCACAGGAAGGCATTAGTGACTCAGTTACCCAAAATCCAGAAAGTTTGGCCCTTCCTGAAGGAAGGGAAGATTGGGGCCTTGATGAAGAACCCCCCGCCCCCCTCTTTCCATTGAGAAGGTGAAGAAGTTAAGAACTCTTTCAGGGACTATCATATTCATCCAGTCCATTTCGCAACCTGAGGATTAGAGGACATAAGTCTCTCAGGGCAGGCCTAGCCCCAGGTCACTGAGCATCCAGTCCAGGGTGTACATAGAAAAACCTCGGTGCGAATAGTGCCCAAAAATATTCATTATGCAGAAGAGATAGGTCAGATGTGAGTCAGGCCTTGATCAAGTCACTGCTCCCCTCTGACCCCCCTGCCCACCTATAAAAGGGTGTGGGGTTCCTGACACCAAGGTTTATCATGCATTTTCCAGAGCACCCACTGTGTACCAGAGCCTGCTCTGAGCCTCCTCAAATTACAGACAGATTGAGATAAGAAGGCTGGGGTGGGGAGAGAGCTGCCTGCCCGAGGTCACACAGCAAGTCAGTGACAGAGCCAAGAGTAGCAGCAGCAGCAGGCAGCCAGTGCCCGCCCCTCTCATGACCAGTGGGGAGCCTCCTGGGTTTTCTTTCCCAGCCCTGCCAGCTTCCTGGTTCTCACATTCCCAGCCCTGCTCCAGGGAGAACCATTCCCTTTAATAACTGCAGCAGCTGTGCCCAGAATAGCACTTGAGCCCCAAGCCACCTCTACCCCAGCCCATCCTTGAGCAAAGCCCATCCAACTGTAGGCCCATCCACTTAGAAAGTCAGAAGCTCTCTTCTCCTGCCCTTTCTCCTGTCCTTCTCCATGAGCAGAGAGGGGCAGCACAAATCTTACATTCACCAGCACTAGGCCAGGTCATGTCCTTCTACCTGATAACTCTGGCTGTTGGGGAGGTGATGAAGGGCCAAGCTCTCACCCCCCCATCCCCACTCCAACATCAGCTCTGGAGATGCCCTGATACAGCTTATAACTCTGGTGGTCAAAACAGCTGGGAGACAGCAATTTTATTGGGCTCTGGGACTCCAAGGTACAAAGTGAGGGTCAGAGCCACAAAATGGGACCCAATCTCCAAAGAACCCCTGGAAAAAGACCCAGAAGTGAGGAGACCTAGGAGCCCTATCAAATTTGGATGGTACAGTGTGTTCTCAGTGATAGGAGGATGTGTAACTTTTCTTGTATTGAGTTCCTACTAGGCATGTGCCCATGGCTAATGCATCTGTCAGTCACTCAGTAGGCATGACTCTAATTGGCTGCATGACCAGGAATAATCCACTTCCCTTCTCTGGGCCTCAGTTTCCCCTTCTGTGAAAGGGGATCTAAGAGCCCAAACTAGTTTGGGGGCTGGGAGTGAAGTCAGATAAAGCCCACATACACGTCAGAGATTAAGAGGATGTTATTATGTTTGTCCCGGAGGTGCAGGGAGGGGATTCCACCACCATCTGGCGCTGCCCCAAGACATGGGGCCGGAACTCCAGGACTCCCTTCAGCTCCATCCACCACCAGCCTAGACCCAGCAGCACTATCCGAGCCCCTCTCAAGTCGCAAGGAGAAAGTAGGGGATCAGGGGCCTGACCCCAACCCCTGGATTAACCCAAGAAACTGTCAAGGCCCCTCCGGTCCCCACTGCTTTTCATCGTATCTTACCCATGGGCCCCGTCCCAACCCAGCGCCCACCGGGTCAAGGCAGGACAAGCGACCCGAAGGAGGGGGGCTGTGGGGGTGGGGAGGGCGGGGCTGGCCTTAGTGACGTTTCAATGTCAAATGCAAATAGAGAGACGTCATGGTCTACCAGGCATGCGGCAGCCAATCGGGAGACGGGAATGTGGCCCCGGCGGCCACCGACAGAGACAAACAAAGACCCAGGAGCTGGGGGCGCGGGGAGCCCCCTAGCCAAAGCCGGCCGGGACTCACCGGGGTACCCAGGCGGTGCGGAGGGCCGGGTGGCGCTGAGGTAGTTGTTCGGCGAAACGGCGGGGGTCGGCGGCAGATCACAGGCCGGACGGCATCGCGGGGGCTGGTCAGGGAGGCGGCGGGGCTACGCGCGGGACTCCCGCGGCTGCTGCGCTCGCCCGCGGGGCTTTGAGTGTGTGCACCCGCTGCTGCGGGGCTCGCAGCACAAATTGGAACGTTCAAACAGCTGATTGTGACGTCACAAAGGGGCCCGCCCGCCTCGCGTCACTGGCGGGCGGAGCGGTGACCAATCCCAGGCTGCGGATCCCCCTCCCCGCCTCCTCCGCCGTCCGCGGACTAGTGCTCCAGACTCCGAGCCCAACTCCGAGCCGCGGGGTGCCGCCGGGAGGTGCGACTGCTGGGAGCTCGGATCCCCTGCCCCAGGGTGACCCACAGATCTCTCAGTGAGATGATCCCAACTCCTTCCTATGGAACCCCCATCTTCCTGCACTCCCTCCTGATACCCCAGCGCCCTCACCCCTCCCGCGGCCCCCCAGATCCTTTCACCTGCATACGAGATCCAGATCCACCGATCTGTATTCCTCAGTTCCACACCACGTCCGTGCACCTCCAGCCTCCCCACCACTTGCCTTCTTGCTGGCCCTCCCTTGTAGATGTCTCACCTCCTCACCCCTACACATTCTCTGTTTTCCCACCCACTTTGCCTCACTGGGCAGGTTTGAGAGGTGGGGGAACTTGCCCCTTCACTAGTTCCCGGACAGCACCTGGGAGTGTAGAGGAGGTGGTTTGCTGAGGAGAGATTTTACAGAGTAGGACTTGGAGAGGAATTGCTCTGGGCTGAATAAACATTGACCTAGTGACTGCCTGGTACTGGAAGTTTACACACCTTATTTAATCTGTTGCTACTGGGGGCTGGACAGAAAAGTGACAGGACAAGGATTTCTAGTCCAGATTTACACGCAGGGAAAGTGAGGCTCACAAATCTCACTGTTAGTTTGTGGATGCATATTCAATAATGCATTCAACATTTATTTGAGTACCTACTGTGGCCACTGCCAGACCATTAGCTGACATTTCCTGAACACTTACTGAGTGCCAGACACTGTACGAATATGTATTTTGGTCTTCACAACAACCCACAGAGTGCTTCAGCCTCTTGCAGGAGACGAGGCCCTGTCCTGGCTACCCTAAACTTGCTGTGTGACCTTAAATAAGTGATGTTACCTCTCTGGGTCTCAATTTCCTTATCTGTAAGCTTAACATGTCCAGAGAGTCTTTCCAACTTTCCTCCCTGAGGATTCTGCCAATCATGCTCTAGGCTCCCCGGTCTCCCAATGGCCTGGGAAATGCCTGGAGAGAGACCACAAATACGCATCCTCAGAATCTCCAGGGCCAGAAATTCTGGGCCCTCTCTCAGTGTAAAGCAGTGTTGGTGGGGTGGGTCTGAGAGCTGCCCATCTGGCCCAACAGAGGGGAGAGGGGGGAGCTAGGCCAGAGCTTCATGCTCTGGTGAGAAAATCCTGTCCCTGCCTCCTCTGAA